ACCCATTTTGAAAAGAGAATTTGTTAATTTAGAGGACTAGTTACCTTTTTGCAGTTAGCACATGACACCTACTCGCGCTGGCCCTGCATATATGTATAAATTAGTGATGTACTTATTAATTGGCATCAGCTAAATCAGTCACTTTTTTCAAAATCATTTCTAACCGATTTTTTATTGTTTAATATAAAAATAGTTATATTTCAATACATTTGACTATGTTTACTAATTTAACTTGTAATGTAAAAGTTTAATATAAATGAAATTTATTTAAAATTCATAAAGATACTTCTGAAAATAAGTTTCCTAAACTGGGAAATATTTAAAATCTTTAGATTTTGCAATTATATTAAACATCAAAGAATTGTTAAGTGCACCAGCTTCTGATGAAGGAGTTTCAAAAAAATTTTTAATTAGCCAGCTCATATATTTAAAGGTTAAAAATAATTGATGATAAAGAATTTAGTTGTTGGTGCTTGAATAAGCAGCAAATCTAATCTTTTTCTATAGAATGTTAAATAATGATATATTAACAAATATTGATGACAATTGAAATATTGATAGACAAATTTAAATAAATCAAAATAAAATAGTGTTTAAGAATAAATGGTATTAAGCATGGTGTAATAATAAAAAATTATACAGTTATTATATGAAATAGTTTGTGGGAATCACAATATCCACAAACCTAACATGAATTCTATTGTTATATTAGGAAATATATAAAATTGTTGAGAGCATCAAACAAGTGTGAATATAGTTGAGAATATCAAGCAATTGCATGTTGTTATTTAAGAAATCCCTCATGCAATAAGTAGTATAATTAAAGTCCTGCTATCAATCATTTTAAATCAATTGTATTAATCTCTCTTTTAAAAAATAAAATGAATATCACGTTGGGTACTCTGCAAATTAACCAATAAAAATCAAAAGAATAAATTTGAGATATAAGGAGCATTCATCCCTATTTAAAAACAATCTATGGAGATTACACAATGTTGTTACAGGGAATAGGTTGTGGTTTTATTTTAAACAAACCAAACACTTATCAGCTATTGCTAGTTGAGTTGGTAAATGTGAATGTTGTTGAACAATAGTAAGACATGCCAGGTTTGTATATAGTCATTTTCTAAATTTTCTTTAAAACAGCAGGCATCCATTTGGGATATAATTTAAAACCATGTTTTAAAATATATCTCTAGTGGATACCATTATTGTTTAATTCTATATCAAATACAGTTTAAAATCTGTTATACTCTAAAGAAATCAGCAAAAGTTGTAACACAGATTTAAAATTTATCAATTCCAATTTAAGCTTTCACAACTGTTGATAAAATCTAGAGAATTACCAAAAAGTTCTATTACTTACTACAAGTCAGCCTAAGAACCACTAGATTGAGTTTTAGAGCTCTAGCCAAGAAAATAACAAAAAGAGTTGTAGAGCCATTATCAAAGAGACACAAGCAAAAATCTATAAGAGTTGAAAGGATCTAGTGTTTATTATCCTAAGTAGAAAGCAATGTAGCACTAGTTTAAATCTACACCAGCCTATTATGTAAAGAAGGGGTGCAAGACTAGTCAATTTAAATTTTTCACTTACCTAGAAGACTTTTTACAAGAAATGCTAACATCTTGCCAAGTATTTTTATCACTTTTTCTAATCTGTCAAAGATTATGGCTCTATATCTTGTTTCGTTAGAGTCATACCTCTTATCCATCATTTTTTTTTTTTTTTTTAATTATCTTCGCTTCCAACAAGGTTGCAAGCAACCACTTATTAGTGTTGGAAGTTACTGGAAGAGAAAAGATGAAGATTGTAGAGCAAGATAACGATAGACAGACGACTTAAAATATTGCAAATTATATGAATCAGGAAAGCAAGATGAAGGAAGCGAATTCCAAAGAACCGATGTTCGAGGAAAAAAACTAGACAAATAAGAGTTTTTGGAGCACTTAGGAACAGTAACAGAAAAAGGATGAGACTTAATTGAATGACGAGTAACATGAGAATGAATTTTAGTAGATGGCACAAGAGACGCTAGCTCTTTAGAGCAGTGCCAAAAATGAAGATGATGATATCTTCATTTTTGGCAAATGCACCATATAAATACTAAATTTTATAAACAAATAAATTAATAGCAAACATATATGTTTGCTATTTATTAATTTTATAGATTAATATTAATTAGCAACCGTATGTTTGTCTAATTTAACATATGTATCCATATTATTTATGCATAAATGAGCCTGATTGGTTTTAAATCAAGCCTCATTTTACTCTTATTTTAAACTTATATTTTAGACCTTGTGTAGTTGCTAAACAAACTCGTAATCATTTTTTCAATATATTTTACAAGAATAGCTCTCTTGAGGACTAATGTCTTTATAATTGCAAGAAGTCAATATTAAAAGGTCCTGTTTGATGCTAAGCTTCATTATTCTCAGTTTACTAAATCTTGTCTCTTATGTAAGGTTTTAGAGACTAAGAAAATCTGTAACAGTG